GTGGTTGGATGTATTTCGCGGCGGGGAGGAGGCCGGCGTCGTCAGGACTGGGAAGAGGGAGCTCATCGCCGTCTGCGGTGAGGAGGATGGAGCGACGAGGATCCGGGAGAGGTGCAAAGCGTAGTTTTGGACGGGGATTTGAGGCGTTGCTGGTGTGTGAGGAGGTGGAGGAGGCGCCGCTCTCTGAAGAGGTGCTTGCTGAGCTGGACAACGAGTGGGTCGATGGCGACAACAGAATGCTGCGCGTCGGGGCGACCAACATCGTTCAAAGCAAAGAAATTAAAATTCAATCTTTATTCCATTTTATTTGGATATTGCGATCAAAATATATATCGCGGTGTCCGAGGGTCCGCCAAGACTCTCTTATCGTGAGGTAAGCCTTAGCTAATTTGTCTCGAAGTTATCCTTTTTCTCTTCACCGACGCAAGGCTACAGACAGAACCACCTCTAAAGACACGCCCTTGTTCTGTCTCTTCATCTCCGTTCAATACTGCAATAATTTATAATATAATCTGGACATTATTTCTCTTGCCAAGGCGGAATTTTCCGCGCCAGATGACTCACATCACTCCCCGCCATCAGTTGCAATTGATCTGCCCTTCCTCAAACTCGAGTCCAATGACTTTCCCCCTGCTCCTCCTCTACAGCTCTGCTGATTCCTTGTGCTCCACCACCCTCGCCTACTCTATAGCTCCCTCACCTACATCGACGTCGTCGTCGACGTAACCCGCACCACCCACGTTCGATTCAACTTCCTCCTCGCTCCCCGCGTTTGCCCATTCGGTTTCTTCCGTTGCCACCCGATCACTCTTTTTGCCTCCGCCGTACGACGCGTGGCCCAACATCGGCTTTTTGTCAACTTTCATCGTCTCATTCCATCAAAACCGCCGGCTTCATCCTTGCGGGGATCACCCAACTCCCACCAACACCCACACACGCCCTCAACCAACCAAAAATTTGCTTTCATCACGAACGTTTCTGCCTCTCGTCGGTGCAGGGATGAACACGAAGCAGCCACATCACGGAAGCCCCCGTAAGACCTTGTCTCGAACAACTACAACCTCCTGCAAAAGCGGATCCATTGCTCGAAACCATTGCCAGCGAGGCGACAACACGTATTCCCCTCAAACGTGCTCTCTGTCTACAACCTGCCTTCTGATGTCCTGCATCCGCAGCGTTCAACTACTTTCCATCGATCTTTCTGAGGCACCCAAATATCTAAATCCAGCAACTATCCTTCTAAGTACGTCCTTTTCCTCGCACCGGACCTCAATCGATAACTCTCCTTCCATGCTGTTCCCTCGTTTCAGTGCTTCTGGTGAACTGCAAGAATCCGATAAAACATCATTGCTACATGTACCCCGCGGCCAATCATCAACGTACTCACGGACTAGTCGCCGCCCATCTATCCATCTGCCCGAAAATACCGAGGTTCAGACACGAATATCACCCCCGCCGGGGCCTACACATAGACCCCGGCAGTTACTTATACGCCGTCGGCTTCATCAACGACAACTATCTTTCTCTCGAGCTATCAAGACGGAAGTAAATCTCAGACATCTATCTCATCAAGATACATAGATGGAGGAGACAATGAATCAAGTGGCGGTCCGCGATAAGATGCCTGTTTCGCAGATACATAGAACTCCAATTTCTATACCTGGCTATTCTCGGGCATAGGCAAGGGAGGAGAACCTAGACTATGCTAAACCTGGAACAAATTCACGGCACCGACCAGAAGTAACAATCTGTTCATTCGGGATCCATCTTTTTTCCCCTGGGGTTATCTACCTCTCACAAGCACAATACCCTCCGTCGGCGCGCCACGATGGTTGTTTCGATTCTGATTCCTCCTCTTCTCTTCAAACGCGCATTCTCATCTCAAGCCTCAAGACTCAATTTCAACTTCAACTTACATCACCTCAGTCAGTCAACCTCCCACGGTTCAAATCCCGACTAACCCGATGAGCGCCGTATATTCTCGCACACGTCTTACTCCGACTCGGTATCAATCTATGCAATTACACCAACATTACACTACCGGCTCCAGGACATCGCAAACGTGCGTTTAGCGCCCGCCATCCATCCAATTATCACTGCTATACGCCGGGGCGAACTGGCAGCTTCTGCTTCTTTTTCTTTCGTCTCTTTGTTTTCTCAAGTTCGACGGATCGAGGCCGAGACCGAACTCGTCACGGACGAACGGACGGAGGTAAGCACAAAATATAACAAAGACAGCGGAACCTATTTTTCACCACCTTCTGAAGATTCGAAGGAAGGTTCCCGTCGGAAATTAACTTGGCGCGACGGGGATCTGCAGACTCAGTCTGGACCTTTGATCCCGGGTCCCCGACTCGGATTCGCGTGCCTGCGCTATTGCGGAAGGGAGGGCAGGTCGACGTTTCACTGATACAGGGTAAACGACGCGGCCGCCGCCGCAATACGATACATTTTTCATATCTTTTGGGAGCGACGGTAACGAATCTTTAGAGTTGCAGTTCACTGCAAGTCAGATATGCATATTCAAACGTGCTTAGACCTCGTTCGAACTTTCATTCTTCACAGGTATGTACACTCCGTTCAGCCTCTCAAATCTTCCTCGATCGGAGACCGAGTCTCTCGTTCATTTTGGAAGGGGCTCGTGTTTGAATTCGTCAGTACGTCCCTTCGTCCGTTTTTTTTGTTATCTATCTCGTACATAGTCCTGTTACAGTGAACCCGGCATTCACGGTGCATGTTCACCGATGGTGGACGTTGGCCATCAATATAAATTGAAGAACAATTTCCGCGGGCAGTCTGACTACCTATCTGCTATCTATGGCGTGCTGGTGAGCAAAGAACAACCGCGGCGCAACTCCGAGTGAGCAGGATGTAAGTAACTTACTATCATCAGAACACTCTGAATTTATATCATGATCCAGACCATTTCAGACGTTGTATCATCTCCTACGCTGTTGGCCACGGCGCACAACGGACTGAAGTCGGTGAATCCAGGTGGTATCACGGTCACTACTACTACTATCACCGCGGTGAGGGAGAGAGGTACTTATTCACATTTATGGCGTGGGTCTAGAGGTATTCAACGGAGACCTCGAGGAGTCGTCGTATTTCCGAGGTCAATGATTTGGAATGAACGGTTTTGACGCCAATTTGTAGACACTCATTGAAGTGTCACTTTTTGAATGAATTGTTCGAGTCGAAGATACAGCAGACACTGGCATATGTTAGACACTTTGTATTCGAGGCAGCAAATTCACACATGAAGACGCTCGGAAATCTCCGTTGGACCCACAAAGAGCAAACGTTCGCTGTGCTATTTCTAATTTCTGAGCAGAGTTCTCCCTTCTGCGAATGAGAATGCGATAATGTTAGTTCGATAGTGGTTATAGTAGCGGGTGCATACATGTTATTCAATCGTAGCCATCGGATGGTACCTACCTCGGAATTATAAGCCTCTCAGTCCCATAACAAGATTCAGATACCCGTCCTGAGTGCATCCAACCCAACAAGTCGCCGGAGTCCATACCGATGTTCCCTCCTTCGTGGACCCACAGACGAATCCTCCTAAACAAGGGTCGCCGGTCTCCAAACCCATGTCAAGAAGACGTGGAAAGCGGAAATTAAAAGCCAAAAAGACGAGGAAATGAACGAACGTTCTTCCTCGTGGACCCACAGAAGGAGGACCGTGTAGTAGCTAACACGTTATTTATTGCCGGTTGCTCAACGCGCCACGACGCGAGCCGGGGCCTTGAGGGCAGGGATGCAACCTCTATAATAGCAAGCGGAAGGCTGGAAACGCGACGGCCAAAGCAAACGAACGTTGCTCAGATTTGCAGCGTGGATCGTAGTAGCGCAAGGAGAAAAGCGAGAACTGCTTCGACTCGGAATTTGCCGCTATCTCGAGCAGCAAGCGAGATGATGACGAAAGGAACTTTCGGGGTCCTGGTGCTTTGAAAGATTTTCGTCGTGCCTGCAACTTGCTGCAAGCAACTTGTTGAGTGATTCGAATAAAAAGATCGGGGAGCAGTGGGAGGAATTCAAGCTGTGTTGATGCAATTTGAGCATGTAAAGATTGAATGTGTTGACGCATACTGGCATGCGCAGAGCTACCTGAGAAATTCCCTCTGAGGGATTTGAACCACGAGCGCAAAAAAGATGTCCGAAGAAAAAAGAAATGCAAAGACAAAAATATTCCCGCTAGCCGATTTGAACGACTGACCTCATCATAGCCACAAGATACTAGTGATGCGCTCTACCCCTGAGCTCAGTTTCGGACTGGGCTCTGCACCCTAACCATAAGCTCGTACGTATGGTACGGACATCGTACCGTAGCCATCTGAGAGGGTCCATATTTCCCGTGCCGTGGTACCGTTTACAGCCGTATATACAGTATGTTCTCGGCTACCAAGTCTGATAGTAGCTGCCAGGGCCTCGGTCGCAGCCAAAGGATGTCCTAGGCCTACCTCGTCTCTGCTGGCTTCAGTTCCGAGGGTAATACCGAGGTGATGGAGGTTTCTGAGCGCCGATGAACATCTTGATTTAGAATTACTCAATTAGGAAAGTCATCCATACTTCTCGTGCATTTGAGTCCTCGAAGGACTTCAGAGCCCGACTGGAGGCAAGGTGAGTGGTTCTAAACCATATCCTAGTGTTTTGACATACATTCACGCGAAAAAGAGGTGGATCCCTAAACGTCGGCTCAACTGCCGTAGCGTATCCGTATATGGCTGTATTTGGGCCGTACCGTACCGTCAGGCTGGTTTGGTGTCCGTAAATACGGAAGAATTGGCCGTACCGTATATGGTACGTACGGTGCAGAGCCCTAGTTTCGAAAAGATGAAAGTGATCAGGAAACGCCTAAAAAAACCTCGACGGTACAAAATACAATTCCCGCTAGCCGATTTGAACGACTGACCTCATCATAGCCGCAAGATACTAGTGATGCGCTCTACCCCTGAGCACAAGTACGGAAAATCGGCAGAAAAAAGTTCAAAACATAATTCCCGCTAGCCGATTTGAACGACTGACCTCGTCATTCACCAAATACTAGTGACGCGCTCTACCAACTGAGCTAAGAGGGAATTTTTTTTGAAGGGTTTACCTTCAAGTGAAGTCATCCCAAGTGCGGGTAAGTCACCAGAAGCAAACAGAAGCAAAAACCAGCCCAAACGGCCAAGAAACGCGGTAACTGTGTTTTTCTACTCCAGAACTCTCAGTAAAATGTTTCGGCAGCTTCTTACACCTACTCGAGCACCGAACATACACAAAACATGTAAAAGTCAACTGAGATGCCCCGAAATGTGTCCCACTTCCAAATTGGGGACGATATTGATGATGGTCACACCTGTGACCTGTCACCTAAATGGTGCGACTGTACGCTAGGTCGTTGAGCGGTTTCTGCATTGTGTGGATTTTTTCGAGCCTATAAGCAAGACAATCGGTGGCTAGTTGACTGAGATATCAAGCTTTCGGTTTGTGCATCAGATTTCCGTTCAAGTCAGGGCGCCTCATCAAAGACACTTGAGTTTCTTCTGAAGCCCACATAGCCTGCAACCATCTTTGGGAGAAAAAATCAAGTTGAACGAATCAAAAAGGAGTGAAAACGAATAAGATACCACAAAACACGGCAATTCTGCGTGACTAGGGGAGCTATCCATTGTAATCTGACCAGACGTACTTGTGGACAGTGAAAGGCTCTGGAAGTGGTTTGAGGATAACTGTCAAACATTATCCTGGCGGGGGTGGAAAAACCTTATATTGTGGTAAGAGCCTGGCTTGAACGGTCTTACTTGCAGAAAACTACAAGGAGACAAATCCTTATGCTCTCAAATGTAGCTGTCTTCAATTCTTCTGAAGCCCATAGAGCTCGCCGCTGTCTACAGGAAGAAAAACCAAGTTAAACTAAGAAAAAACGAGCAAAATTGAACAAGATACCACCAAACACCACAATTCGTGGCACCTAGAGATGTTCTGCATAACTGGCGGAGCCCTCATTGTAAATGGTGAAAGCTCTAGAAGTGCTTATGAGGGTACTTTGAATGCCATTCGGTGAGAGTGGAAAAGCCTTATATTGTGGTAAGAGCCTGGTTTGAACTGGCTAACTTGCAGAAAACTACAAGGAGACAGATATTTGTCCTCTCAGAGATTTGATTTTCTTCTGAAAGCCATACCACAAGCAGGTACCTCCAGGAAGAAAAACCAAGTTGAACCAAGAAAAAATGAGCAAAATCGAATAAGATACCACCAAACACCACAATTTATGGCACCTCAGGGAGTTTTGTTCCAAGACAGTGTAAGGCTCTAGGAGCACTTACGGAGGCTCACTGTACAACATTATCCCTGGCAGGAGTGGGAAAGCCTTAGATTGTGGCAAGACCCTGGCTTGAACAGTCTGACTTGCAGAAAACTACAAACAGTGAGGTCACATTTCATATCCCGCACTCGGGGCGGAAATTGAAATCACCCATCAAGCAAGGAGACTGGGCACTGTCATCAATCGAGTGTGGGGAAGATGGAATCAATGTGACCACTGTGATATGTCACACTGCTCTCAACCTCTCCACCTTTGTGTGTCTTTCGAAACAGTCAACCAAGTACTCATATCTGACAGAAAGTGTTAATCCATTTTTATGTCGCCACAAGTCCAGTTTTGCATTCAACACATTACCTTCCTATTTTGGCAACTGGCGTTGAGTCGACGCTTTGGGACATGATACAAATAGCCATCAACAACGGTGGCCATTGAGTCTAGTTGAAGCATCCGGCTTATGCACCTCAAGCTCAATTGTGTTCAGCGTTCAATTGGGCACATTCGATATTCACAAGGTTTCTTGTCTGGAATAAATTACTATTATAATAGTAGCTGGGGGTTAACATAACTTGCAGGATACTTATCTCGAGTTACGTGCACCGCCAGGTAGCTGCAGGGAGAGAGTGAGATACAGTGATTTGGAAGTTCGTCATCATAATCATCCTGGAAAGCAGCGAGAAGCTAGTCTCTCTAAGACAGACGCTACAACTTGTAGCTCGTTCCTCGCAAGTTATAGCGAGAAGCTTGTGCAAGATTGCGTTGAGCACATGCTCCGAATATTGCGCGACGAGAGAAGGGTGTACGAGCTTCGTCTGCTGCAGCACGGTCCTGGTAGCAGAGAGCATTGTAGTACGAGCGTCCATGCAGATGATCGTTCTGGCAGACACGTCCAGCCGAAACCTCGCGAGATTGCGCGCAACACAAAACCTTGTCCAAGGCTTGCATCCTAGGCGAATTTTGTACGATCCATCGACCCAGGCTGACGATAACTGATGTCAAAACGAAAACTTGAGCGTAAATTAAATCACACCTTGCTTATGACTGTCATTGACACGGACAGATAGTACTTACTTGACTATGACTCGAGCAAGGATGACTGATGGGACCTTGCATTGGTAGGCAACAATAATGTACTCAACAATATACATAACCTCCCGTGCGCAGAATATAGGAAAATCGCAACGAGCGGGAAGGAGATCATCGGATGTAGCAAGACATTTTTGCGCACATGAGTATATAGATTCTTAGTTGGTCCTATTCACCTGTGGTCTAGCTCAGCCAACGAAAAGGCACTTTAAATGAAGACGCATAGCGTACCCCGCCGAGGATCCATCATTTATAGCGCTCATCAAGCGTGTACGAGGGTTGCTCCTGGCCAGATTCATCAGTAAATCGAATCAGAGTAGAAGACAAAGACTACGAAAGGCGCGAGCGAAAAGCGAGGACAATCTCTGATAAAAATGTCGACGCAGCGTCCGCGGCGGTGAACACGGCATCGTCGACATATCCACATTCCGAAACCTCATTGATACTACAGAAGACATGCTCACCTCTACGCTCAACTCAGGAGTCAAATCAAGCCCTTGAATCTCGATCTTGCATCCCTCCTTGACAAGAATTTCAAGGGTCTCGACGCACCATTCCGCATTGGGGGTATTTGGCAGCATCTCGGTCGAGAAATCAGGCAGATGATCATGGACAAGCCGGAACGTCTCGAGTTTGGCTCGAGTCCCTGAAGGATGTTCGCTTGTACTTGAGCTTGTTGCATTCGAGCCACCACTCCACCTCTCCAGTATCATCTGCGTCATTTCAGAAAAGGTCGAAGCATTCCATATATTGTCTGCGGCTGCGCTGAGTGAGAGAACGCGGAGTTTCGGGAGGACATCCTTTTCAAAACGCAGTAACGAGATGAGTCGGACCCATTGCAGTAACGCATTGCTCATGCTCAGTTCGGCTTCTTCGATCATAGGCGCTGCTCGGAGCACGGACTCCACAAACCGCCAGTTTCGTGGATCGACACCGGAGATGTATAATGAGCGCAGCGAGGACTCGCATCGGGCGAGAAGTCTCGGGACTCCGAGATCTTCGCTGGGTGTTATGATCCGGAGAGACTTCAGCGAGGGGGCAACAATAGCGTCGCAGACCATAGCGCCTTTGTGACAGATTTCCAGCATGCGAAGGCGAGGGAGGGTGAGAGGTTGAGGAATTACAATCGAAGGGTGCATGTTGGAGGGCGCAACAGACAACAACTCGAGGCTCGGAGTAAGAGCCAGCAGCTGCAGGAACCCGTCCAATCCCTGCATCCGACTTCTGAGGTGTGTTAGCTGCCCCCAAGGTAGGTCAAACAAGCGCAGCATGTCCGGGCTAGACAGAGGGAGCTGATCTGTCATAGAGAGCTCACGCAGATTGGGAGCGTCGGAGAACATGGTCAAAGGAATCGAATCGACGAAGGATTCGATTGGTCCACTGCCGTAAGCTATATGCAGGCTATGCAATTGAGGGACACGCCCCCGAATGTCATTCAGAGAACCTGTAATTGGCAGCTCAAGCCAGCAGGAGAAGTTCCGCCATTGCTGGCAATAAGGAACCAGTTCGTTGATAGATTCGTGGCGAGTGTCGAGGCCACCGATATCGATCGGGTGTGTTCCCGTCCTTGGTAGCCACGATTGCAATATTGCAGGCATATCCGGTGCGCTGGACTGTAGCCATATATTGGACCATATGGATGCCAGACCGAGAGCAATGCGCCGCCATTCCTTGCAGACACTGGAGAGGACGAGGGGCGCATTGCCAACCCATTGACCTCTCATTCCCAAACCCACTCGGTCTGAGACGCAATGTTTGAATATCTCAGCGGTAATTTCGGGGGGCAAAGTGAGGACTGGATACACGACGGAAATCAAGGCGTCCACGACTTCCCTACGGGCTTCAGCGAGCTCTTCCAATTGCGAGTGCAAGGCCGCCATTTTTTTGTCAACATCGGCGAGACGCGTCCGCAACGCCGCCGTGGTGGATTGAGGTGGGCTGTCCATGAAGTGGCGAGGCACGATGGGAACTGAGCGCCGGGGTTCCGGCTTGAAGTAAGGTCAAGTTGTGGTTCGGAAAGAGATGGCGCGTAGGCTGAGGTTGTGTAGCAAACTGAAGCAGAGCCTTTGGTGACGACAATGGTGCCGCGCGGAGAGTTTGCAAGTTTGACGTCGGAGCTTAAGATTTTTCGGAGAAGCAGGCTGCCTGCGCAGAGGGATACTGTAGCTGCCCGAAGAAACAGCCGCCACAACCAAACTCGGCGACACACTTGATCTTGACACTCATGGCCAACACAAAACGCAAACGCGTCTCAGACAGCACAGATCCCCCAGCAAAGAAACAGAAGCGATCGCGTCGAGCCGAGAAACAGACCACCATTCCCGTTATCAATGTGCATGCCGACAAAAGTGAGGCACCAGTTCGTGTTGGCGGGCGGACACAGCGCAAGGCTGCTTCGAAGGCAAAGAAAGTCGACGTGGTGACCTTGCTGAGCTCGGATGAGGATGAGGAGGATGAATCTGCGAAAGCTGTTCCCAAGAAGAAAAAGAAGGTTGTGAAGAAGTTGGCGAAGAGTGGCGACTTGGACTCGGACGACGCGTCACCTTCTCCAAAACGGTCCAAAAAGAAGGCCAAAGCGACGATTGTGGACTCGGCTTCGGACTCTGACGCGTCGGACGCCATTGGGTCACCACGAAAACCGCGACGAATTCAAAGAAAGGTGGAATCTGACGATGAAGAGGACGT